GCCAGGTTTGCCAGGTCACTGTAACTGTCCCGCCTTTGTCATTACTCATCTCTCCACCAGTCCCACATTTCCAGCCCATACGCTGAAGAATATCAGCACTGACACTGGTCCCAGCTGAAGCCCCTTCTGTTCTCTGCCAGGAACACACCCATTCAGTGATTTCTGAATCACAACCAAATCAAAAGCAGTTTAGGGAGTATGTATGCAGTGCTGGAATTAATTAAAGGTTAGCATCAGAATTATGCCAGAAGCCTGCTGAGATAATACGTTCAGGAGTAACTCATTTGGCTCTGCCATTTTCCTTTTTTTGGCCCACAGTAAAGGTTACCTAATTATCTTCTCCCTTAGTCAAAAAACTGTCTGAAATGGTATTTGATTGTCTTCATTTGATACAAGTCCATATTTTTTGTTTCAATCTAAATACAAACACACACGCACACACAAAAAAAAACAACTGTTGAGCATTTCTGTTCTTCCACATTCTTATCAGCCATTTTACCATCACCATATAATGAAAGATACCAGTACTGTTCTTCTGTTTTCTTTCCTCTCAATATACTCGAAAAATTCCTTCCTACAGTTTTCAAACTAGACAGCTATGGATTACTCCAAGTTATTCTTCTGGTTTCCTCTGTCATTTTCTACTTGTCATAAATTCCACTTATAGAAATCATTAATTGTTCCCACCTTTCTGCATTTCCTTTTATACTGTTTTTCAATTCTAATTCTTCCTTTTACATCACCAGTTACCAGTGAATTGGGTAGGCCTTCTGCCAAAAGTTGCTATTTCTTGACTGGAAGTCACAACTTTCTAATAAACTCTTCTCGAAGAAACTCTATTTCAACTTATTTTTTGTATCTACTTTTTTTTCCTCCCCTTTTTCTCTCCTCTGACATAGTTCCCTTCTGCATCAGTGTTTAACAGTGCCCTGTTGGTCTTCCTTATTTCCATTTCAAAGTGGTCTGAGTTGGTAATCTGTCACAAACCTTCAAAGTCAACTTATTTTTTTTTCCTGAAGAGCAGTTCAAAAGTGTCTAAGAACTCAATTCTCTGTCCCCTATTTTACTTCCTCCCCAGCTTTCCATTCAGTGCTAGTACCTTGGGCTTTATCCCATCCTTTTCCTACCTCCATACAGAATGTAGCACCGCCTGAGCAAGTACCACGATCACAGTAAATCATCCTTCCTCTTTCACTTTCCCCACCACACCAGTGCATGACAGTTGACTACTGTTTCATCGCTACACAACATTAGGTCAAGTGAAAATGCTGTAGGCATGCTAGAAATTACTGCTGTTTGCTTTGCTATTATATTACCTACAAGCATATGTAAAACTGCCATAACTCTAGTTCCTGAAATGCTATTGCCCAGGCTGCTGAACTCCCTGCAATAGAAAAGACCATGCTGGCAGTGTGCCAGCAGCTCAAAGGCTACATCTAATTGTGCATAAATTTAAGCAAATTCTCTGCTTAGACTAGAGCAAACAAGCTTATCTTTAATGCAGACATATGGCCAGCAAAACCTACAGATCCCAGCATGCAACATTTTGGCCAGCTGGCCATTTGGATCAAAATGAAGCATTGCATGATCTGATACTGTGGTGACAGAAGATCAGTATCACAGTCCCTCCACGTTCAAAAATCCTGAGTCAGGCCACTCAAATTCATGATTTTTGCTTAAAGAACAGGAAATCTTAAAGGGGGGAAGCAGACTGAATTTGCTTTTAGGACAGCAGTGTTCACATTCTCCCACTTTTTTCTCCATTTACATATATAGATATATGTATATATAAATTATTATATATTTTGTAATTTTTTTAAATAAAAACTAAGTCACACAGTCACTTGCCTCAGGGAGCTGAGATACCACGAAAACCAGACAGACTCACAGTATGATCAGGAGAGGACCAGCAACATATTCTGAACTCGTTAAGTACACTGATAACCACATAGATAGACAGACAGAATCTGGAACCTGCAATCACCAGAGATATTACTAATAAAGATAAGGGTGGCGGACAGTTTTGTTATAAAACTCCAGTTGTTGCAGTCTTGCACTAAACTCTTTGCTTTTATCATTGCATCCTTTATTCAATCTGGGTTTAACTTCCTTTCTTCCCACCTCTCAGCTGTCATATAAAATCTTCTCTCTGCCTCCAACCTTCCATTCTGTAAGACACCTCTGCTCTCCAAAATGACACGCCATACATTTTATGACAGTTACCTCCTTGACATCTGTCACAGATGCTCAGTCTCCAATTAATAAAGAAAACTGTTCCAACAGAGCTGTTACTTTTAGACAGGGAAAATCAGCCTTTCATCTCTCAGTCCTGTTCTTTTGGTGTTTTAAGAGACTACTGGAATTCTAGCCAATAAAGGTTGGGAACACCACCAAGATGTCACTCACCAAGTAGTCTACTTTTTAGATATACACACTGAGGGCAAAAACAATTCTGGTTTCAGGTCACAGTCTATTCTGGAATATTTGGGAACTCCTGCTTTGATTCTGATAACAACTTTTCAAGAAACGGATCCCACCAGAAAAGGCAGGAAAAACCTTCAGATCAAAATGTGGGGATTTGCCAGAGCTGCAAACAACATGTCAAGAAATAGAAAAAGCATTGTCTGCTCTAGGTCAGGACTAACATGCACTGGCAGAGTTGGAAGAAAGTGATCCAAGAACCAGAGTTCAAAAGGCTTGCTCTGCGACCAAGAATGAGAGACCTTGGCAGAGCTGTGCTGATAAAAATCAGTGCAAAGCCTGTGTCTGTCCCATGTTCTTTTTCTTTTCCATTACATTTTTGCAAGCAACCAATACTTCAGGCAACCTGAATGCTTGTTAAAGAGGTGGCTTAATCTTTTATTAACGTCAGAGCTCCTATCTGCATATGACAGAGTGCAATTAGAGAAGCTATATGCTTTGCTGATCCTGTAATCAGTTCTTGTCTTTTTTCCTTAGTCTGACAAGCTCGTCCCATCAATCCCCAGGTTCAATCTAAAAAGAGCAGGACAATACAGCCAGAGCTGCAGAGGCACTATGATGAATCTTCTACTCTTCCATTAAGAAGCACTCAGCTACATTTGAGCTCAGGCAGTCTTTCACAGGTAACCTTTTTTGAGGAGACTGAGAACCACATTAACAGTGACAAGCTCCCAGGAAGAGGGCAAAGGTTCATGCTTATACAAACCTCAGGTTGCCACAAGAAGACAAACATGACAATGACGTGGCTGAGCCTTACTTTCCATCTGCCACTGGGTAAATAAAGCTACAAGTCAAATTTGATTTAAAGACTTCCACGAAACCTCCATTTCCATGTCTCCATGACTTGCCAGTTGCCTTGTCCTTTTAACTAGAAGGGAAACTGCACTGTGAGATCTCTGATCTTTAGAAGCTGCCATTCTTCATCACAGCTGAAGTTAAACACAGCTCTCTGATGCAAATTAGCCTTCAGGATCTTAACCCTCAATGCCTATTTTCCAGTGGAAAAAGAAAGCACTACAGATTCATCTACAGCAATACAGATTCATCACTGCTGCAGTGGCCTTGTGCCTGCAAATCTCACAAAAGTAAGGAGCACCCCTATCACGAATCCTAGGAAAAGAAAGAGGGGAAAATGTAAATAGTAACAGCACCTGAATTACCATATGAAACTGCAGCTAAGATTTTCTTAGTAAGTACCTAATAGCTAACTCCACCTGCAGTATTCTTTTCGGAGTCTAAAAGGGGCAACTCAGTGAGCCAGTATATGTAAAACATACAGTATGTCAGGACTATACCTCTAAAAAATGGCACTACAGCAAGGACACTACCAGTAAGTTGGACAGTTCTCCTTTCAACACTGTTTATGGTCTGAACAGTCAAAAAATGTTCAGAATTCAGGCTGGAATTCACTACTTTCATTCTCCATTCTTTTTTTTTTTTTTTTTTTTTTTTTGGAGAAGGAAAGATTGGACTAATATATGTAAATATTATGTATATATTGCCAGTCCTTACAGCCAATTCAGTCTAGCACAGGACAGTTACTATCCTACCCTGCTGCTCCGGGATAGAAATAAAATAGCAAACAATGTCTGATTGTGACTCAATCTAGAGTCTTTTCTAGACAGAGGAGGTAGAAGTACTTATCCCAGCCCAAAAAGGCATCAAATCAGCAAAAAGCAGTTAGAAACAAATAACAAGTCACTCCCAGTTTACAGACATTCAGCAGTTCTGTACTTAAAAATGTAGTACAGTAACAAGGAATGTAACTGCAGACCACATGGGACATATGAAGACTTACTCTCACTCTGAATGAGAAACTAGGTCCTATTTATTGCTCCAGAAGCAAAACAGTAACAGAAATCCAAACTGGTAACACTTCTTCAGAGAAAGATCCCACCAGAGGAATGTCTGAATGAGGTTTTCAGCACATGTATATTTAACAGCTGTCCAGAAGAGTAGAGATGTGATGTGACTATGTTTTTCCTTCTAAACTCTGTAATCCTGCTGGAGGACAGATTATACCCCAGTACAGCATTTCTAACAGTTTATCAAAATAAACTTTCGATCCAGTCTCTCAAGGATATAAACTTAGTGTTAATGAAAGCCCACTAAAGAAAAGAAGAGCAATATTGGGTGGGACAGGAGGTGTGAAATACTTCCTACCATGTGAATTCCCTGTCAGAGGTGGAGTTATCTCCGCACATAGGGACACCTCTGCTACAGGCTTCACTGAGGTCAGGAGATGACATAGCACTAAGCCAAGAGCAGGGGAGTGCTGGTCATTCGACCGGTAGTGAGGATGTGACAGCCCTGGTACTCTTACTATTTCAAGTGTTTATAATTGCCTGAAGAAGGAACTAAGTACAATATTTAGGAAAGATAACGTTCCTTTACAGATTACAGGAGCTTCCTCTAAGCATACCAACTGTACTGTAATTCACACTTCATCTCCACGGTATTTCTCAGACTATGCAGACCACCTTCCCTTTCATTGTATCTCCTGATTTTGCTGTCTTTACCTTGTGGGACATCATATTCCAGAGAGTCCAGAAAGTCAGTGGATGGGTCCAAGTCAGCCTTTTCCAGCAGAGTTTTATTCTTCAAGTGAACAGGCTCAGTAAAATGGAAATAGGAAGTTAATTTTTTTGCCTCCGTCAAGGAAAGACCTGCAAACAGCCATTCCTCACCATTAATACAGCGTGCAGGGCTGCAGAACATTGCATCACAGACTGTCATATTGTTTCTCTAATGCCTGCAGCATTCTGCAGCAACCTATGACAGGACAGTCATAGGCTTTCTCCAGTTGACTCCCTAGTGCATTGCAAACCATGTTAATTGTGGTCTCAGATAAGTAATGGGTTCTGAGTCACGATCAACTCTGTGCCCATTTGTTACATCCCATTGTGCAGATGGAGAATTCAGTGCAGGTGTAATTGCTAAGCACCCACATAAACTATACATGGACAAATGAAAGTACAGGTTTATTGACTCAGATTCTACTCCCACCTTCCAGTTGAATTGCACACCTGAACATTAATGATTTTATTCACTGCTCTATGAGGTGAATCACAATTGCAGGGGTGGCATTGGTCTGTCTCTTCCCTATTCATCTTACCCAGGGAAAAAAATAAAGCTGAAATCAAAATATCAGCTAGACACAGAGAAAAACTGATCTTCTTCTACGGCCTTTATGATCAAAGTACAGCTGATCCTGATACAGACAATGAAAATTTACCTTCAAAGCTTCTGTTTTCATGCACAGACCCAAGAGGAGTCTTCGTAAGTGCACGTCGGGGGATGATACCAACTGCTCTATCTATCTGTTCTATCGTAGCTACAAGGCGATTCTCCTCCTTGATTGTGAGCTTTAAACAAAAAAGAAAAAAAGAAGGCAAATTTTAAAGGCAGGGCTTTCCTTGATGATGTTTCTGAAAATAAAGTTGATGTGACAACAGAAACCAAAACAGATTCAGCTTGGAGCCCAACGGCACCACGAGGATCATCACAAATCAGACATTATTTTCATAAGATATGACAAGATATCTTGCTAGCTAGGAACAGTCTAGACTCACCAGAAAATTAACTGTCCCTCCCTTCATTCACCATTCCTCCCTCTCAGATAAATTACCTGAATAGCTTATTTATCATACTTAGTATGAATGGGTACCTGCAGTTCCTGTATAATGCTTCAGGATTCTGTACCAATTGCACATAATAAAGCATAAAGGAGAAACAGTATTTCTCAGACACATCTAAAGGAATAACTGAAGGCAGAGTTCAATCAAGAATCTGCTGCAATGACAGAAAACAGGAAACTGTATGTTCCACCTGATGTGAATAGGGAGATTGCTGAGGGCACATATCTTGGGAGGAGCATTCTGAGAACTAAGAAGAAGCCTCACAGAATCACAGAATCGCCAGGGTTGGAAGGAACCTCAAGGATCATGAATCTCCAACCCCCCTGCCACATGCAGGGCCACCAACTTCCACGTTTAATGCTAAACCAGCCTCAGGAACAGCCTCTCTAAATAGGAGCTACAGACTCCCACAGATCTTCATTTTCCTATCTTTTCGGGTAGCAGTCAGTGGTGTCCACTGAAAGCACACAGGATCTGAGGAAAGAGCTGCCCCTCAGTGGGAGATTTTGTCAGCTGGGACACAAATGCTAACCACCAAACGAGTGGAATCAGGCCGTTTCTGTCACCCACCAGCTGTTCATGACAAATGAGGAGCAGTCTGTTTGGTGCGAGGGGTACAACTGCAGCAAAGAGAGCTGGGAAGCTGTATTTACCTCCTTACCCTCACCCAGGAAATTTTTGTCATCTTCTGCGTTTACCTCGGCGTACTCATACTCAAAAGACGGATCCCCCTGGAAGCGGCCCTTCAGCAGCTCGGCCTGTTCCACCATCTCCTCGGTCGCCGGCGGCAGGAGGCTCCACTCCGCGCAGTTCAAGCTGTCAGCCACGGACCCGTGAGACACGGAGCGCAGCCCTCGGGGCACGGCCAGGCTCCCCAGCCCCCTTATTCCGAGCCTCCTCGTCCCCCACACCGCCATCCCGCCTCCCCGGGCCTCGCAGACCTCCCCGTTCCCCGCGCTCCCCTCCGAGCACCTGCGGAGCACCTGTAGAGGCGGCTGCGAGGCGCAGCGAGGTCGGGGCCCAGCCCCTGCGCGATGTAGTAGGTGCCGCGCACGCCCTGGATGCAGCCCCAGAACCAGACCCTCTCGAAGCGGTAGTCGCGCTGCAGGAGCAGCAGCGAGGCCTGCAGCGCCGCCCGATTCTCCAGGCTCAGCCCCGTGTCCCCGCTGGCCGCCAGCTGCAGCGCGGCGGGCAGCGCGGCCGCCTCCATTGCCGACGCGTCGCCGTTGCCGGGCGACCGTCGTTCGGGCGGGACTTCCGCTGGCGGTGAACGTCAATCAAAGACGGAGCCTGAGCGACTCCTCCCCGCTGCCATGGAAACGGCGTGGCCGACGCTGGTGGAAAATGGCGGCGGACACTGGGGAGTCTTAGTGAGCAGGCCACGACCGGAGAGAAAGTGGGGTCTAGGAGCCTGGGCTGGTCTCGGCAAGCAGGCAGGCGTGGCTGCGGTGGCACTCCCGGCTGTATGGTCTCGTGTAACCATAACCCTGTTCACAACCCGGGGATCCTGACAAGCAGCGCGTTAGGAATGCTGGCAGGGGTGGGCAGGATTGCTTTGGTGGTGTGCCGTTCCTCCATTTCGAGAGGCCAGAACACAAAGGTACATCAGAAAACTGAGGACGTTTCAGTTGCATTGCACCTTAGCTGGGATACCACCATACCCTCATTTCTGTTGGGAACATTAGCAGAAAATACATCCGCATCTCACTACATAGCATCATTTTTACTGACCTTACTCAGCTCATGTACGTCTGTAAGTCAGTGGCTTATGCTCTCATTTCTAGATGACAGTGCTCGTATCGCTGTGTGGGGGCCTATTTTGCTGAATCACACCCAGACAGACATTCAAGAAATAGCTCCTGCCGTGTAAATCATGCAGACCAGCTTAATACAAACTGCAGTAAATAAATAATGAGGTCATGCAGCAGCTTAGACAAATAAAATTTGTTTGATGTCTTAAGAAAGTTTAAAATTTTATATGCACGTTATATAAATATATGTATACACACAAATATCTAAATCCATTGTCACATCGTAAATTCTTGGAGTTGTTTTTCATCCATTTCCTGCTCACATCTAAGGAAAGCACAGCTCTTGGGACTGCTTTCTGGAACAGTTGTCACCTGCTTGTCTGTCAAGTGCGATGTTTAATGACCTACCAGCATGCAATCCGACCCATTTGTTTTGCTTAGGTCTCAGAAAAAGCAGCTTGCATTCCTGAAGGTTAACCGCCTCTCTTTAACGTGAATCATGCAGAGCATGCAGGAGTGACCACAAACTTTTTGTCCGTACTGTCACCTACCACCATGCCTTAGCCTGATTTTCCCTATGGGAACAGACATTTTCAATCATTGTAAACTCATTTAATCACAAATGTCTCTAGAACCATTTGTTACACTAATATTTTTTTATATGGCTGGCTGGCTGGCCAGTAACCACTAGAACTGCAAGCCAAACTCATTTCATACACGTCAGAGAGGCAAAATGAGACATAATGAATTTCTGCCACTGTCAACCACAATTGGATTCAAACCATATGCTAGTAGCTGAGAGGCTCTTCAGCTTGTTATGGACCTTCTAAGCCACCCAGTCTCCAGTCTTTGCCTGTCCTGACTGAAGATTATCAAAAAGGAAATCTTTAGCTTAAGGAAATTCTTCCTGGTTCAGTAAAGTCTGGAGGGTAACTGTATTCTGCCTTGCTTTGTCTTGACCCCAATTACTAAACACTGATAAGCATCAGGAAGTAAGTGGTTGTATTATTTAACAAATGAAAGGTCAAAAGCGCTGCTATTCAGCAAGGTCAGAGGTTACCATCACTGTTATTAAACTGTTTGAAAGCAGTTCTCCCATCAGTTGCCATCCCAGGTTCAAACAAGCAGCGCAACAATCTGGCAGCCAGGAGGGAAGAAAATAGGTACCAGGCATCATTCAGCTTGGCTCAGGTTAGGCAGCTTTCCACTGATAACCTTTATTGAGGGAAGGTGCTGTGTTCCAGTAGTGCGCAGCAGTCTCCCATTGGAGCACTGAGCTCTCCTGCCATTGAGCAGACCAGGCATCTTTGTACTCATGTGCCAAACTGCTTCAGCTCCTCCCTCGTCTACTCCGCAGTGCAGCTCTTCAGCTATAGCTGGCACCCTTTTGGCTGAGAAATCAAACTCAGGTTCCCTTGATTCAGATGGAGCTGGAAATACACAGGGAGACTGTTCCTCCCAGCTGTGTTGAATATAAAATCTGTTTTTCCTCCCATTTACCTCAAAACTTAGGCTGTCTCTGGCTTCAGAAACTTTGTGGCTTTGAGTTGTTCCTTTGCATGTAAGTCACTGCTGTGATTTCATCACTGTATAAGGCAAATAGATTAGTAAAAGACAGCAAACAAGAAAACAAAGTATGGAGTCTTTCTTAGGAATGAAGACATAAGAGATGACTGACTAAAGGAAAGGAGATTTTGGATGACAAACATTTGGAGATGCTTCAAGAGCTGCGAAGTGAAACCTTGAGCTATGCTGAGCATAAAATACGGCACTGGAGAGAGGCAACAGTTTAACAGCAATAGAAGGCACCAGGGGTGTCCTTACTTTTTTCTAACACTGGCTCTTCCCCCTGTTTTTGAGATTGTGCTAAATATGGCAAGTCTCTGGGAATACTCTGAGTGGAAACTATTCAAAAAAAATAGATGTAAGTCTTTTGGCTTGTCAAAGCCCAATGTCATTTTCTCCATTAATGAGACTGGAGCTCTCTGCTCAGTCTAGTTGGAGAGGAAGGAGTGAAGGCTGCAGCTCAACCACATCTGGAATCACTGCAGAAGCATCCTCAGTAAAAAGTTAACAATAAATTGGGCCAGTAGGTCAGGATGGGAACAGCTGCACGGAGATAAAGAGGAAGTCTATGGGATGACTGTTATAAGCTTTCCCTAGAGATTCTCTTTGGTATAATCCTGGACAGGCAATATGCCCCCAAAAAATGGTTATCCTGCAGTAGTAAGGTTGAGATGGAAATGAGAGACAACAGCTTTGTTGTATTTGTGACATGAAGTTTTCTGTCTATCAGGTTAATTTCATCACTTCCCTAGTAAGCATCTGTCTTCTTGACTGCTCTGGCACATGGTACAGTTAAAGTGTTTCCTGGGTAAAAGCACCAATGTGCTGATTACCTCATTACCTGTGCATCACATAAGTAGGTATGATTCTTCCAGCTGACATTAACGGGACACACACAGCTTTTGTTGTACCCAGTGAAGTGAGGTGCAGCTCTTTTATCTTGTCCCACCACGCTGCCAGTCGAACTGTGTAAATCTGAGAAGGAAAATGCTGTTGAGGAAGCTTGCGTAGAGAAAAATATCACAGTGAGAATCTGGCATGGAACTATAGGTCATGACTGTGGTTGGGATACAGGAGAATTTAATGCATTTTTTAAATATCCACATTTCAAGCTACCCTTCATCCTACTACCCTGGTATAAGGAGTTAATGCACTCACAAAAGCTAACACATGATTTATTTTTTTAGATATCCTAAGCAAAGATAGACCTTGTATGAACAACTACGAAATAGTTTTTGTGGTTCCTGGGTTGCAGTCTGCTGCTCTGGTCTTTACAAGTTCAGCTTTTAGGACTCACGCTCATCTCTTCACCACAAGCTGCAGTTGCTACAGTGAAGACAGTGGCAGGGACCTTAACTATTTAGGCTTTTTGGAGTCAGGACCAAGACCATATATTCCAGAGAGAAGGGAATCAGTAGCCATCAGCAAACACAGTCTTGATATAACCAAGTTTAATCAACCTGTCTTTGGAATAAAGGTCAACTAGTCTGCTGCTTGCAGGTGGCTCCAGATAGAGCCACTCCAGTAATTTAGCACAGAGACAACAAAGACCTGGGTGATTGTGAACAAAAGCAAACAAGCATTTGGCAAGCTGACAGTGAGAAGAACGCTTCTGGCCTACTGTCTGAGAACTTGGGCCAGAGTAGGGAACTGAATCTGGCTGGACTCTGGGATCAGCAAAATTTACTAGGCAGATTTCATTAACTGTTTTCAGAAAACACGCTTCTAGTAAGCTTTGCTTTTATTTAGGCAGTGCTTTTTTCCAGTCGGAGATGTATGCATTTCTCCCTTTGTCTGATAGTAAAGGCCAGTGACCTTTCTTCTTGTCACTATCTGTAGTGCTATTTCCAATGCTTTTTTTTTTTTTTTTTTTTTCCCCCTTGGGAAAGGCCTTTCCAATCCAAAATTTCTACTCAGTCTCAGGCACCTGCTTAGAACTATTAAGCTTTAAAAATGCACAGGAGCTCAGGAACAGCTCAGATGGGGTTGGCGGCTTCAGACTGTTGTCTGCAGCTTGAATCTGGACCTCCCCCCTGGAGAGGTGCTTGCGTTCCTGTCTCTGGGGCACTGACTCTTGCCAGTATAGCTCAGCCATCCCCTCAGTAAGTCTTCTGCATTTGTGTGTGTTCGCTCCTTCCACCTGCTGCCGAGTAACTCGGAACAACCCAGCTGCATTGTGCTGACACTTTTGTGTGGTTTCTTTTCCCAGGAATAGAGTCTAGCCAGGTAAATTATCTCTGAAAGGGGAAGGAAAAGAGGGTTCCTGCTCAGCATCTGCTGCAGAATCTGATCTCCTGCTGTCTTCCCCTCCATGTGCAGCGTGTAGGCCTCCATCCAACTGAGCCTTGCAGTTGAACTAACAAAGGAGGGGTTTCTTCCTTTTTACTGCAGTACTGAAAAAAATGTTCTTTTTGTTCACAAGGAAATGTTACTCCTCTGAAATTTCCAACTGTTCTTTCCTGCCTGTGTTCGCTTCTGGGCAGAGACAGAAGAAATCTGAGATGACCCAGGAGAGGGAACAGCAGAGGCTTCTGCCTAAACTGTTTGAACAGCTAATACCCTTTCCAAATACTAGCACCTGGGAATCCTTTAATGACTTGAATAGTGTTTTAGGTAGACTAAATATCTCCTTTCAGAAACAAAAACCGATTATTATTATTTATTTATCTGTCTTATTCTTTACAAGCAGTTAGAAAGTAACCCTTTCCTGTGTTAAGTTTCTGCTCCCATTTTGGATGTCGTGAGGCCAAAGTGTGCTCTCATTACATATGACTCAATAACTGTATTAGTGGAGAGAATGCAGATTTACATCACATTTTCAAAGAGCAGAATTTGTCCCTATTCATTTAGTAAAAACTTAAATACACTCTGCCCATTCAGAAGTGAATTATATGTGAAAATTTTCAAATGTTACATGGATACGTGCTTC